TTATAAGATTTTTTTTCTGTGCATCTAAACTTATTTATCCGTATCCTATACCTTGAAATCTATACGTCTAAGTATATATATATATATATATCTTTTTCTATAAGTTATGACAAATGCCTAAAGCTAGCACACATGTCGAACTTGAAAGTTGAATTCAATTATTCAAGAGTTTTTAAAAAAATGCCCACATAACTAACCGCTTGTATCCGTGTCGTGGCGTCGGATCACTATGCACTTTTCGAAGAGTCACGACCCATAGTCGTCTATTGTGTACATAATAAAGTCTATTCTTTTTTATGTTTTGACACTACTGGAAAGGATGTACAGATTCAGACGTATAGAAAAGGAGTATAGAATAAGACGTACAAAAGAACAAATACAATAGAACGTATAGAAAGGGCATGTATAAAAAACATCAAGAGGAGCTATAGAAACGACATAAGTCTCAGCAAACCAAGAAAGATTGGATATTTTTTTTATTGTTTCCGGTCGACATGATAAACCAGATGGGCTGTGACAATTATATATATATATAAGCAATATTCTAACTTTGAACCTCAAATTTTTGATTATTTTTTTGCATGCCTTGACTCATCAGACGATAAGTATCAGATTAGATTAATATTTAAGACACAAGTTATACTTCGAGATATACATTTCAATGTAAATCTATTCAAATAATACAAAATATTGATAAATTATATTAAAATTTATTGTGATGTTTAGGTCGATTGAAGTATGTTTTTGAATTTTATAGTCACATTTCATTAAAGTTTCATCGATTTTAATCGACTAATAAAGTTTAATCAATTAAAACTGATTATTTATAGGTTCGGTTCAGTAGATTAAAATCAATTAAATTTCAATAACCGTATAAAATCGATTGCAAATCAAGTAGTCTGTTTAAAATCAGATTATAATTAAGCATATCGCTAGTTTAGCTCATCAACAGGAATTTGCCGGTCTTGTGCCGATGTATGGTTACTATCAATCTATTTGTCTATTCATGTTAAAAAGTTTTATTTTTATTCTACAAAATGTCTTTATCTTGCTATCTTCATTCGTAAACAAAGAATGTTGACGATAATAAATAACTTTGACAAAAATAACAAGCCAAACTATCTTTGTGAAAAACTTTTGCTGGATGAACAGCTCATGGACTGAGGTGTTTTTGAAGGAAAAGTCATGTATGGGCCGGATCAAAGTTCTTTGAGCGCACGAGATTTATCATGAAACTCATCAATCATCGAACATAGCTAACATTTAGTCCATTAATCTAATTGAATGAAAAAACAAAGAATAGATCTGCTGTATTTGTTTATGATTAGAGAGTATGTATATGCATTTATCTTAACTAACTGATCTGTCTGAAAGTATAGAAGAAGATATACATTATGTACATAATAACATTTCCTTTTTCTTTCTGTGTACCTATATATTCTTGTTAGAGAGACTATGGCAAGATAATCGATCGACCGAAATTGATCTCTTTCTTATGGTGTTTGTCGTTCTATGCTTATCCGTCAATTTGAGAGATGATCAGACAATCTCGTTTCTTAAGTCTCAAATTTCATCAAATAAAAATGAAATTTAAAATCAGTAAATAATAACAGATTAAATGTTAAACAGATACTTTTGACACAATTCTTTCGTTTTTTTTTTTTATTATAAATATAGGATATAAGATAATTATAGGCCTGGTTGCACATACAGACAAAAATGTTTATTTTATTAAAGAAAGTATCATTTGTTAATTTTTCTGTCGGATATTTTTTTAGCTTTATTAGTCTAATTTGTTAACCTTTCATGGGACAATTAAAATATTCAATACCAAAAAAATATGTTTATTTTATTTTCCATAATGAGTGATATTAATCTGTTAATGGTATGCGTACATAGCAGTACCCAAGCAATATCTGGTTCCACTATCTTTTCCTTTCGTCTCTTATTATTTGAAGATAAAACTTGATAAAAACTGAAAAATGACTGTAACATAATTATAGGCCTTCTTTCGAAAAATAAGCGTTTTCTATACTTTTACAATGTGCTAAACCGTCACTTTTACCATTTATTGTAGTATTCACTTCTTTTTAACTTCTCCATTCTATCCAAAGTTTAGTTGGAGTTATTTTGCTTCAAAACTTCAAGATGTAATGTACTCTCGGAATTTTGACCCTTTTTCGAGTCAAAATCTGTTGTAAAGCTAATTTTTTTGTGAGTTCGATTCGTTCGAAATCTACAATATTAAATCATATTTCTTGAAATGATCTATCAGAATCAAAGCTGAGGGTGTGGGTGGATGTGGATGTGAGTGGGTGTGGGCGTGGGTGTCGGTGTGGATGTAAATTGGGATGGGTGATTGTGCGACGATGTCCTCAATATCAACGCACACCCACACCCTAAAAGATGATTCGTTTGTAGCTGATTGATCATTGATAATTGTCGTCGATGTAGTTGAAGACGACGAACTATAGAAGAAAGTTTAATTGAACACTGCAGTTCGGCGATTGAAAATAATATTAAAAAGCAGCTTATACTTTTGTCATACGAAATAAGTTATTAATACCGTATTAGAACTAATCTTCAACCTTTAAAAAAAATAAATATTCGTCAGTCTGTTTAAAAGTTAAATAAACAAAAATCAATTAGAGCAACAAAAAGATGTTTTTACTGATTGTGAATAGTATTTTTCATTGGATGCTTTAAGTTTCTATCTACCGTATTCTATCTCCGAATAATTCCTATTATTTAAACTATATTATGAATAAGAATCAATTACAATGATCAATTGAAACAATCAAAATACTCGAAAATCATTATGAGTAGTTAATCCTGTCTCACTCGATTATGATACACGCGTTGTCTGTGTTAGCTTCCATTTCGTTGATATCCCATGTCATAAAAACCGGCGGTTAACCGCGGTTTTACCGATCCGGTTACCGGTTACCGTCGCTAAGATTTACCGCCGGTTTTTATGGATACTGCGGTTTATCGCTAAAATGAACCGGTTTACCGGATCGTCAATAAACTTTGATATTTCATTGCTTTAAATCATTGATTTTGCTGTTTTAAATGTTTTTTTCTTCTATCTTCCTATGTCATAAAAATGCTCAGAAAAATCTCCGGTCTACCGCGGTTTTACCGGTCCGATTACCAGCTCCCATTACTGTAATTTACCGTGGTTTACCACTAAAAACTGTCCGGTATTTACGGTATGATATGAAATATATAAGAAATGACTTTGATGGCTAATGAATACATCTCTAAATCTATCCTTTCAGCAAGGAGATGTGTATTTTTTTCTTTTCTAAGCAAGAACAAAGATACGTAAAAGTAAAAACAAAGTATATGATGCTTTTTGTACATGAAAGAAAGAAAACAACGCTCATCATTTCACAGGCAGTCTCGGCTTATCAAACATATTTTATACTCGTCGGCACAGTACAAATAAAAAAACATATGTAAGGTGCGGGAAATGCAAAATTTGAGTGAATTTTTTTCTCGTTC